TAACCCTCCCATTTTATTACATATTATTATATATATATATATTAAAGTTTTGAAAGATTTTAACAGTAAAGTGGTACCTTTTTTTGTCATTTTTGGTCCTCCAACTTACAATATTGACCCTTCATCTTTATGCTTTTGTTCACAAACAACCATTTCACTTTGGTTTGGATTTTAACAGTAAAGTGGCACCTTTTTTTTCATTTTTGGTCCTCCAACTTACAACATTGACCCTTCATTTTTATGTTTTTGTTCACAAACAACCCTTTCACTTTGGTTTGAATTTTTCATAACTCTCCCATTTTATTACATATTATTATATATATATATTAAAGTTTTGAAAGATTTTAACAGTAAAGTGGCATCTTTTTTTGTCATTTTTGGTCCTCCAACTTACAACATTGACCCTTCATCTTTATGCTTTTGTTCACAAATAACCCTTTCACTTTGGTTTGGATTTTAACAGTAAAGTGGCACCTTTTTTTTTCATTTTTGGTCCTCCAACTTACAACATTGACCCTTCATCTTTATGTTTTTGTTCACAAACAACCCTTTTACTTTGGTTTGAATTTTTCATAACCCTCCCATTTTATTACATATTATTATATATATATTAAAGTTTTGAAAGATTTTAACAGTAAAGTGGTACCTTTTTTTGTCATTTTTGGTCCTCCAACTTACAACATTGACCCTTCATCTTTATGCTTTTGTTCACAAACAGCCATTTCACTTTGGTTTGGATTTTAACAGTAAAGTGGCACCTTTTTTTTCATTTTTGGTCCTCCAACTTACAACATTGACCCTTCATCTTTATGTTTTTGTTCACAAACAACCCTTTCACTTTGGTTTGAATTTTTCATAACCCTCCCATTTTATTACATATTATTATATATATATATATATTAAAGTTTTGAAAGGTTTTAACAGTAAAGTGGCATCTTTTTTTGTCATTTTTGGTCCTCCAACTTACAACATTGACCCTTCATCTTTATGCTTTTGTTCACAAACAACCCTTTCACTTTGGTTTGAATTTTTCATAACCCTCGCATTTTATTACATATTATTAGTATTTAGTCTTTTGACAGAAATGGTCCCTGTGGTTTACCAAAATTACATATTATTAGTATTTAGTATTTTCGCATTTTATTACATATTATTATTATTATTGTTAGACAAAATTACACGATTGATCCTTGTGGTTTACCAGATTTAACATTCTCTTTTTGGTTTTAAATTAATGTTTTATTTATTAGAAAATACCCACCAAATATCATAAACCCACCCACCATCTGCCATCACCACCACCACCACCACCGCCAAAACTACATAAATGGTCCATATGGTTTACCTATGGTGACAAATTCAGTCCCTACTACCTGAAAAGACCAAATTACCCTCACATTAACGGACAAAAAGCAACGGTCTATATTTTCCGGATTGGTTTTCCAACCGCTGCCATACATGGCAATAAAGTTCAATTTGTGAGACCATTTCTTTATTTTCCTCATTTATTGCAAGAAATAATGATTTAGATTTATTTACTTATGTAATTAGATGACATTGTTTATCTTCATTTACTAGATTATCTCAATGCAATTTAACATGCTACTTTACTTTACAAAGCAGTACCTTCCGACCCCGGCAACGCCGGAGATCTTTTCTAGTTTTTATTAAAATTTGTATTTTTGGAAATTTTCTAGTTTTCAACTTTTAATTTATTGATATGAATTAAGATAACCATAAAAGAAAAATATTTATTGTCATGTATTTATAGCGATGGAGCTAAGATTTTTAAATAGAGATAAAAAAAATTACGCTTTTAGAATAAAAGAGGCTTATAATCGATCGTGGATTTTAAGTATAGTAAGCTTTATCAAATGTTGTAAATGTTTTAGGTGCAAATCCATATGACACACGAGATATTACTGTCTTACATATCATGTATCTCATGCTAGGAATTAGTGAATGTGAAGACTAGCAAGGAAGATTTTGAAGAGATTGACTTTAGTTGTGGTTTTGTATATATAATTATTGTTTTACTATGGTTTTGTATGCAATCGGTTGTACACTAATGTTGTATGGACTTAATCCATACACAAAAGCAGGCTCAATCAAATAATGCAACTTTCCGGCCTAGATAAGCAAACATCATTCAGGCAGATTACTCAAACTAGATCTACCTGATTCACACTCATCTGGAGAACAACCCCAAATAAAATATACCCTCATAATGTTAAAACAATATCTTGGAAATCAAGAGAAATGTTTTATTGTATTAAAGGATATTACTCTTACTACCGTAAGGCAATACAACCACCCATGCAACATAAGCAACCAAGGGTTTCCCTTGCATATTTAAATACCTCGATCTGCCCCAGCAAGACAGGTAACAATCACTCAGTCTTAGAAACTCTTCACTTCAATATAACGCAAGAACAACATTCAATACTAACTTAGGCATCAGAGAGCGTTATCGGGGTTCCCTACGGTAATGATCTTAACCTAGTTTTTTCATCTATTTTGCAGATGTAACTTCCTATCATTAGCATTTGGAAAGACCTTACTTTCGTCCAATCAACTAATCGGGAGGCTACATAGCATCATTGACGCCATCCGAAATCAGCATGCAAGACAAACAACACACCATCCTACCCACGCCGGATTCACCTTTCATCCTGATTAACTTGATCCCATCATTCACACCATGAGCAGTGGTGTCACCAAGTACTACTCAACCAACAACAACACCCTTTAAACAAGTTGCACACACTTCTTCACCGCAAAATGTAAAATTGACAGGGGATCAAACAACCAACTTAATGTCGAAAAGAGAAAGACGACTCAAGCTAGCTTGGTTATTGCCACACCCCGAAACCAGAATGGCGGAATCGTTCCGAGGTGGAGGACATCATGTTTAGCATCACAACCAATGAATAATAGGAAACATAGCAACACAACCACTACGGTGGATACATATATAAGTAAAATGTTTACATTACTTTGAAACTAGTTTTAAGTACATCAAAAGTATGTAAAAATATAAAAAAACATGACTCTTATTGCTCCGGCTTCTCTAAATCCACGGAGTACCTGCTTACTGATTTCCTGAGAATACAAGCAGTTTTAAAAGAATATCAGCATAAAGCTGGTGAGTTCATAAGCATTTAGTTTTGGTGGAAGAGGTTCTTTGATT